AAATATATATGAAATAATTTTTTAAGTAGATATTCTAAAAAAAAAAAAAAAATTTGAAGTAGATATTTTAAGAGAAGAAATAGAGTTTTGAATAGTATTTTTTGGAAAATGTACAGTTGAAAAGTAAAGTAATTTTATTGGTTTGTGTGTAGAATATTTTATTGAGTGAATATGTGATGGAAATTATTTACTGTAGTAAACAATGTTTAATAAAATGGATAACAAACGAGGGCTTAATAATATCTGCTAATAATTAAAATAACTTTGAGAAGTCAAACTAAAATTTAAAAGTTAGGCACTATTCTTGGACATGACTGAAGTTCTTTTTAATATTTTTGAAGCTCTTGGTTAAGAAAAAGTTGTCATGCCTTCATTTATACGTGTAACCAATATTTTCCTTTAGTGTATAATACACTTTGCATTGTGCGTTTCCTCGTGCCCATTTTACGAGTTGAGTATCTTGTGTTACGTTAAACTTTTACATTAACATGGTTTCATACTTTGTCATAATGCTTTTTACAATATTTGATGTGAGTTTCATACTTCTTATTGAATATAAACTCACACAATTTGTTTCAAGTTCATTGATTTAGAGCTTTTTTCCTAGACATAATTCATCAAATGACCGAGCTACATTGACATTTTCATACCATGTAAAGTTTATGTCTACATCATATCGAGGGTAACTATTTTTAAATAATTTTGGTCGTTAAAAATGCAGTACTTTAAAATTATTTAAAAACTATTGTAATTACTAACATCTCATAAACTTATTCTATTTGATAAAATATAATGTTATTCATAGCGAGGAATACTGGTAGTCTTACTACATGGCATATATGTTATAATGTTTTATTTGATGTTTTTTATTATTTCATGTATCAAATAACAAATTGTCACTTAGGATACTACAATAACATTACTCTTTAATAAAAGGTGGCACGGAGTGATGTGGCAATGATACATAGAGACTCACCAGTCTCCCTACTACAAAAAACATGTCCTTGCACATGCAACGATAATCAAGTAAAGCAAAGATTTGAAGATGTTATTTAGATATGCCTTAAACCACAAACTACTCTTATTCACAAAGCAAATTCCACCTCANTTAGATATGCCTTAAACCACAAACTACTCATATTCACAAAGCAAATTCCACCTCAGAAAGTGTTCAGTACACATCTGCATATGATAAAGAAACCAAAATCATGTGTTAGGATAGGATTCAATAACTAAACTGCAGACAACCCCAAATCTTTGGTGCTACAAAGATGACTCGTGCAGCTAAAAGATAAGATCCAACTACTACTTTTTTCCCCAATATAAAGGATGAAGAAGCATAGTTGGATCCAGAGAGCTTCTTGTATCTGACTCGATCTTTTAGTTTCTTTGAACATTTTTAAGCAGTCATTTCATTACTTACAAGCAAAGCAAGGAGGCACAAATGGAACTACAATGCAGAAAATCGACATTTGTGAATAAATTAGATAAGAAATATGCTATAGGAATTCCAATAAACTCCATGAACAGATCTCCAAGAGGATTTTTAATCGATCCTGCTTGCCAATTCAGTGTTATGCCTTCTCCTTCCAATCAGCATTTCAATATCGGACACAGTAAGTTTTTTTTTTTTTCCTCAGCCATTATGAGCTCAATAAGAATTCGCAGTTTCACTAATCATAATACTAAATTCTGCGTTTTGTTGGAAATGCAGGTAAAGCAGATTTAGCAATCCTTAGGATGAAGAAACTTGGAGAATGGATGGATAATTTTACACAAGGAATCCGAGAGCATGGTAAACAACCAAATTTTGTAACTACAAACTGTTTGTATATGCCACGGCATAGCCTAATTATGAGCATATGTAAATTTAACTGAACACGCGAAGATAGAAAGACAGTTTTGGAACGATGGATTCTGTATTGGATTGGCTCAATCTTTTCAGCCTCAGTACATTTTAAATATAATACATTTTCCTAACTATTTCTCTTACACACTGTTGGGTTTTGATACCCAATGGATCTCGGGTGACGATGTAAACGTTGGATTAAATTGTTACCAACAACCAAATCAAAAGGCTCAACTCGAAAACAACTTGTGCTGTTGAAAGTAACTTAAAAAATCAGTGTTGCTCATGACCCATTTATATTACCTCTTGGATGGCTTTGAATCTTGGCCCATTTAACCTCTTTTATTGGTCCAACTAAAGCCTAACCTAGCCTATATATATGGTGTCTTTGCACTA